TACCAACATACATCTCATTCTTAGTAAGTACAAATTATCGGATACAAATACAAGTTTAAAGCCATTTTTGCAAAGTAGAGACCGAATACAAGATTCTTACGAATGTCCAGTACATGTAGAACATCGTTGATGACGAGTTCTTTACCGGATGTCATTTTCAAAGTAACTTTTCCTTGTCTTTCAACTTTAGAACTCGCAGATTTTTTCATAAAAAGTTGTTCTTCTTTTAACTCTTTGTAGTTAGAAAACATAGTCATGTCTGCACAAATGTGATGGGTAGCACAAGTATCAACCTACCATTCCCTTGAATTTCCAACATTATTATAATCTGAAACAATCGTTGAAAAATTCATCTCTTGTATCCCTTCAAAAAAGGTGTCTCCTTCAACCACATTTGTTTGTGCGTTCTTCTTAGGCTTTCGACACTTACTAGAACGATGTCCAATTTTTCCACAATTGTAACAATTGCCTTTAAACTTCTTGGCATTCTTGGAGTTATCTATTTTTGGTACCACACCAGAAATCTTTCGTTTCTTGTTGACAACTTTCAAACCAGTTTTAACAAAATTTGCTCCAAGTTGAACAGTAGATTTTCTTTCAGTGTTTCTATTGTCTTCTGGGATCCTCAATCGAACTATCAATTCCTCTAAATTCATCTCTTTGTATTTAAGCTTGAGATAGTTCTTGAAATCTCTCCATATAGGAGGGAGTTTCTCAATGATGGCTGCAACTTGAAAGTACTCACTCAATTCCATCTTCTCAGCATGTATATCATGAAGTAGAACTTGAAGCTCTTGTACTTGACTTATCAAGGTCATGGAGTTTACCATTTTGTAGTCCAAAAACTTGCCAACAATGAACTTCTTTACTCTGACATCATTGGTCATGTACTTCTTTTCCAACGAATCCCATAGATCCACAGCTGAGTCCATTAAACTATACACTCCATAAAGCGTATTGTCCAATCCATTTAGGATATAATTTTTGCAAAGGAAATGTGAATGCTTCCATGCATCTAACACAATAATCGAATTGCGATTGTTTTTTCCTTCTTGTACAGCAATAGCCCTTTCTTTTAGGAACTTTTCCAAATTTAAAGTAGTAAGATAAACAACATCTTTTGTTTTCATCTTTTAAAATCCACATCTCCAAACTTTTTTTGTTTTTCTCCATGAGGGATGTAAGAGTTTGATATAGGTATGGCCAAAGGTGGAACTACATGGTAGACTCATAGGTAATCCTTTATAGTCTCGTACGTATGTAATAGGTCAATTTTCTTAGCATGTAGATTCATGGGTTGTCTTGAGGTTTAGGTAATTGGGAGATTCAATGTAACTGTAATAATTTTTAATAAAGTGTAATATCTCTATATTTGCGAATATGTGAATTTTTTTTTTCAAAAACTCACAACATCTCCAAACAATTCTTTATTTTTTTATAAAATCATGTATCTTTAAGTTTAAATTTAAAGAATAATGTTTTTTTTTTGTCACACTCTAGCAAACACTTCATTTTTTATCTCGTCATTTAACTTTCCCAGGAACCACTTATTTATTTACTTCATTTTGTAATTAATTTATTTTATAAAGATGTCGATGACCAAAAATATTCAAATATATTGTCAATAATACAAGAAGTTGAATATCTAAACTTGAAATTTTGAAATGGAATTATTTTAAAAAGTTAAATTTAATAGTATGTAGGAGCTTAATTTCAAAGATTAACTCATTAAATATAAGAGTTCTACATTTAAAGAGTATATAGGAGATGCCCTGAGTTTTACGTTTAAATCTTTGTACTATTTTTCCCTCTTTACATTTATTGATTAATATACACACAAATCACGTTTTACAAACACGTATACATTACTTTTAGAGATAAAGCATGGAAAGTCTTACTCAATGCTAGGCGTACAACATGAGCTCCAAACTAATTCATTGGTGAGTAATAATCATTAATTTCGAAAACTGAACTATCGGCTTCACACATTATCCAAGTCCATTGAATACCTAATATTGAGTATACTGAAGCCCACAAACATATTAGAAAGAAGTCAATAGTTAGACACCGAATTATGCCCTTGTTTGATGGCTTTTTTTTTTGTTTCCTGAAAAAATATTGCTTTAAATGACTATTATCTTTGGAGAGAATGTGGTAAAAATATAAGTAAAAATATATATTTTTTTTTGTGTGTGAATGTGTGGTTAAAAATGAATGTATAGAAAACAAGAGCTTTGAAAGAATGAGAAACAAATATATCATATCATATTGCTCCAATTTTTATTTATTTATTTTCAAGTTTATGGAGGGTTTATAGGCCAGCCAAAACCTAAACTGGGTTTGGTATTTTCCCAACCATATGATACTAGGTTTGAGAAAATTTCGATTATAATTTTATTACACTGGGAAAGAAAAAGTTCTCTTTCCCTCCAAGCAGTCTATAAATATATTCATTCGTTGGTCTAAGCACTGCACCGTTACTTACTTGAGATCTGTCCCTTCCTTATCTTTGTCCTTGACCATGGCTTTCAAATTTTCTCCGCTGTTTTCATGCCTCTTTCTCTTTACTTTAGCCATTCCCGCTCTTAGCCATAGAAAGATTAAAGGGCATAATGATGGACAAACATCAGGATTCGAGTTCCTTAAAGATTTGCAAGGTTCCCACAAGGGTAAAAAAACAGATGGCCTTCACCGGCTGAAAAACTATCTTGAAACTTTTGGTTATCTTAGTTATCCTTATTACAAGAATGAAAACTCTGATGATTTTGACGACGCCCTAGAGTCTGCCATCAGAACCTACCAAATAAACTATGATATCAAGGCCACTGGGATTTTGGATGCTGAAACAGTATCTAAGATGATGACACCCAGATGTGGGACGCCTGATATCGTCAATGGAACTAGCAGGATGCGAGCTGGAGGAATAGACCATACTCATCATGGATCCAACTCCATCCACACGGTCTCACATTACAGTTTCTTCCGAGGTAACCCCAGATGGCCAGCTTCTAAAAGACACCTCACCTATGCATTTGAAGCAAATACACCTGCCGCTGCCATCGGCCCTGTTGCACGAGCATTCGGCACATGGGCTTCAGTGACGCATTTCACATTCTCACAAGTTCAAAGTACAGCTGCTGCTGATATAGTTATCGGTTTTCATAGGCGCAATCATGGCGATGGAGTGCCATTCGATGGTCCTGGTGGGGTAATTGCTCATGCTTTCGCCCCGACCGATGGAAGGTTTCACTACGACGCAGACAATAGATTCTCCGTAGGGGCAGCAGCAGGAGCATCTGACCTAGAAACCGTCGCTCTTCATGAGATTGGCCATCTTCTTGGACTTCATCACAGCTCAGTAGAGAATGCCATTATGTTTGCCTTCATCCCAACTGGTGCAACGAAGGGTTTGGATGCAGATGATATACAGGGAATAAGAGCTTTGTACAATATCTAAGAGGAAACTTTGGCAGGGGAACTAAATAAGTGAAGAGTTGATGTATGCAGCAATAATTACGAAGTGAAGGATAAATTATAAAGAAACAAAATTAGTAGTGAATAAAGGAATAAAAGGTGCAGTCTGTTGATGTCAGGAAAAAATAATACTGCACAAGAATTTCTATTGACAATATGTAAACTATGTGTTTAAATTAAATAAGAATGACTTTTAACTTAAAAATAATGTTGTTTCCCAATCAGAGCCTTCAACTGTAAAGTAATGTTTATACATATATTGGGGCACATGACATGCTTATTGCAAAATTTTATGCTGTCACTTGTGATTAGCATCAAGGTTTCCTTTATATTTTGTATTTCGAATAGACAAATATATTACAAAGTCAAATTTGCTAAGCCATAATCACGAAAATACCACGCTAGATTAGGGGTCCGAGTTTTGTTAGCTTCTTGTTTTCTTAATTCTATTTTATTTCCTAGAACTTTAGATAAGGAAAGCTAATTCTTTTGATAAAAGGAAACCTCTTCCTCCTAGGTTGCACTATTTAAAGGCATGCTATATACTTGTTGATCGAGTTTGCACGGTGATTATTGAATAAAAACAATAGAACTCGATGTTTTCAAAATTCTTTGGATTCAATTTCAATATCATATGGAAACAAAACAATTTGCTCATCAAAATCAATTATTCAGTATTCAATTACAATTCAACAAAATCTTATTTTCTAATCTTGCGGGTAATCTCGAAATTAGTGCATTTTTTATGCTGGTTCATCAATTAAGAAAATTTTCTATCATCAAACTAGAAGTAGAATGCAAGAATCGCGGTCAAAATCGGATCCCTCTCGAACAGGTGACTTAGGGTTGCCACTTCACTTCAGAAGGCCGAGCACCGAGGCACCTCGAGCTCGGGGCCCTAGCCCCGGTTCCCTATTAATTTTTGCTTCTTTGGACGCCCATATGCCGTGACATGGTGTGGAGGCACCATTCTCGGTTCCAAACCTTCCAAAAACGTTTATGTCGTTCCAAAGTCCTTCGAATCAAATTTCCAATCATTGATGAAATTTGATCTCTCTTCCAACCGAACTTTCAAGACAAAATTGTTTATGTCTCCTTTATCAACCAACAAACCAAACCAAACCAAACCCAATCTAAATAGGAATTTGGTCATATTCTAACATTTAGCATCAAACTAAATAAAAATGCGCCCACCTACATCTTGAGATGTGTGAGTAGAATTGATAAATGTATTTTATACGCTTATTCGGGGCTTAAAATATCGATATTTGACAATTCGTTTGACAAAATATATCCTAAATTGCTATTTTATGTCATATAGGTTAAACTCAATAGTTGAAAGAGTAATTGACAGAAACAAAAGAAAATCAAGAAAAAATGGGAAAGTCCAAATTTGAGGATCAAATTACAAATATTCAATAGTTTATTCGGACCACAAGATGATATTAAGCTTTTTTTTTTTCATTTTAGTGTTGGATTTTAATTAACTTGGGTTAATTTTATCATATTTAAGTTTTGAATCCGTTTATAAGCAATTGGAAAAGAAATAAGGATCAATCAGCCAAGGATATAAGTTTGGGGATTTATATGCATTTCAATTAAAGATGAAGTATGAAAATCGAAGAAATTTAATGTGCAAGACCAAAATGGAAGAAAGAATGAAGAAAATGGCTAAACTTGAAGTTTTTATAACTTGGCAACTGCCAGTTATATAGGTCAGGCGGCCGTTAAGCCCTAAAATTCAATTACAAGGGCTGTCTGGTATGCTGGGGCGACTGTCCCATTTCCTATTGGGCGTCTTCCAAGGTAAAATTGGAAAAAACATTCCGTTTCTTTCAGAATTCAATTCCAACAAGGAAACTTCTGTTTGGGTCTTGATATGCATGATTTTTGGAGATCTTTTGAACTCTTTAGAAGGATATAAATACCAACTATCAAAAAATAATTAGGGTGTGGAGACTTTAATTACAAAAGGAGGCAAAGAACACTTCAAGATCAAATCCAACAAGTTTAACATTGAATTCAAGAATTTTTGGTAATGAACAACCTTTATATCTTTTACTTTCTTCTTGACAACATGTTAAGCTATATTTCTTTGTACTAGGAGAACGATTAACCTTATAATATGAATTCTTAATAGTTAGTTTAACATATTTGACATTGAAAATATGTTTTGAAATTTGAATGATTTACGTGTTTATCTTTTCTCTACAATTATTGTACAAGGTAATTGTATGAATTTTGTGGTTTATTTTATGCATTCGAAAGAAAGAAAATAGGCTCGACATAATGTAAATCGTCATAAGGTCCGATAGAGATTAAAATATACAACTATGCTCTATATGAATCTTTAACTGTTTAAAAAAATTCATGGACTTTTGTATGTTCGCATCCGTCAAATAAATGTAGTTGGTTCATATATGAGAATAGATTTAACATTACTCCAGATAGATTGTTAAATAAAATAGGAATATTGATTCTTCAAAATTCAATCGTGTTGTGAAATTGTAGAATCAAGGTTAAAAAGGATTATTGCATAGGAACTAGGGATCCTAGTGTGTTTGTTATCTATTAAATACATCAATTTGCGTTTAGTGTAATTTGTATTTAGTTTAGTTAATTTACTCATAATTACATAAGTATATTAATTTATTCATAATTTTGTCATAACAAACACATCATATTATTCTTGTTTAGATTAAGGTCGCAATAACTAAAATAGAACTAATCAATCTCTATGGGACGATGCTTGTACTTAAAAGTCGCTTTATTACTTATTAACGAACAGTACACTTGCGGTGATTTTAATTCGAAAGATGTTTTCACACACTAGTTTTAATTGGAATAATGAATGGTGAAGAACACGATAACGAGTGGACCACATCTGAAGGTCTATAAACATCGAGAGATACGATTTCATCACTTTAGGGTTAATACTTTCCGTCCTAAAAGTGCTATCAACTCAACAAAGCAAAAAAGTACACGATACCTACACTTCAGAGGAAAAAATAGTCCAATTTTCATCGTATTTCCCGCAAACTGAAATTCCACAACACCATAGTCTGCCTAGTCGCCAGGAATAAACTNCTGGTTACCACTAGTTTTCACCCCTTCAAAGGAAGGAAATGGTGGTAGGAATATCAAAAAGGGAGGAAGAAAGGAAGTGCACTAATTGAACTCTCAAAAGAACCACCAAGAACGACTACCTCGCCATTTTTCGTCCATTGAACACACACAGGCCACACGGCTACTGCATATACAGATTGGTTAATTAGATCGCCAAAGTATTGAGCATCCAACAAAAGGGCTAATGTTAAGAATAAATGGGCCAACTAATATCCCCATCTAATTCAATAATTTGGGCGATCTACGAGTGTTGGATGATGAGCAATACTAATTCAATTAAGTTGCTTCTAATGGCCCCAAGTTCTTTCCGTGTCTAACCATCATTAAGGTGTTGATATAAATTATCGACCATCGATTTAATATCATTGCTCAGGATTTATTGGGTATAAAAACCTTTGGTCAAATTGACAATTTAATTTAGAATGCTGCTCGGGATATCACACTTATAAGCATAAAGATATTGAAGAGAAGTGGACAGATTTCCAGTGTAAACTGGTAGAATGCCATTGAGAGGATTTTCATTAACACTCAAAGTAGTTAAATATCTGCATTTCGTCATTGAATTGGAAGCCCAATTGTGGAGTAACACTGATAAAACTGTTCCGATGTGATAAGTGCATTTTTCTACACTTATTCCGCCACAAAACATGACTAATTGTTATTAATAATGTTTGAATTATGGCTTAATTTTACATTGTTTCATTTTGTATCACTTTATTGATGGATATGGCAAAACTCAAGAGAAAAGATACGAGAAATGACCAAAAAGAAAGAAAATGAAAGTTCAAGGACCAAAGCGTAAGAAGTTGAAAGATGACTTGAGGCATGATTTGAGAGTGAAAATGAGCCAATTCCTAGTTTGATGAGTACATAGGATGTTAGAAGAGGGAGAATGAAGAAAATAAGTCAAAATAGAAGAAACCAACATTGAAGGACCAAATTGACATAAATGGAAGTTTGTCTCTTCCGTGCGGCTGCATGGTAGAATCTATCATGCAGTCGCACACATGAAGGCAGGGAACTTAGGGTCCCCAATTTTTTGAGCCATGTGGTCGCATAGCTCATAACCATGCGGCCGCATGGTTAGTTTCCGGAGTGAAAAATCTGGTTTCCTAATTCCGCTCAACCACTTTAGATAACAAATCTAGAGACACATATTTAATCCAAAAACATACCAAAACACGAGAGGACGGAATTAATGAATTGAAGAGAGTCTTGGAGGCAAGGACAAAGGTAAAAACAAGAACAATTTCAAGATTCAATCCAATAATTAAACGGGTGATGACGTTTACCAAATATTTCTGTATTTCTTTCTCTTCCACCATGTTAGGCTAAGTTTAATTGTGCTAGGAGAGTGATGGTATGTAATCTTTGATTTCTAAGTTTGCAATATTTGACATTAAAACATGTTTTTGAGTTTTGAATGATTTCTACTCATTTAACGTTTTCACAATTATTATGTATGTGATTGTGTGAGTTTAGTGATTTATTTCATGTATTCAAGAGAAGGGAAATAGATTTGACGATGTATTAATCATCGTAGGGTCCGATAGGGGATAGAGATATATCTCTATGCTTTGCGTGAATCTCTAAGTGATCATAAAACTACATGCATTTTTGTGATTTCGTATTCGTCATAGAGATATAGTCAGGTAGTTTATATGAAGGTCCAACATTTCTTGAGAGAGAGTGTTGGATAGGTTAGGATCATTGATTCTTCAAATTATCAAACATGTTGTCAATACTGTAGAACTAGATTCAAAAGTGATCATTGCATGGAGATTCGTGATCTCAGTGCTCGTTTGTTACTCATAAGAAAACTTCAAGTTGCATTCGATCATCTATTTGCATTTAGTT